CTTCGCGATGGTCGCTCGGTTGATACTCCTTTAGAGGTGAACGTGAAGTATCGTCAGGAGGAAGGGGATCTCCTTCTTGATCCTTCTCTATATCGTCAGTTAGTGGGTATTTGAATTATCTCACTATTACTCGACCAGATATCTCTTTTGCCGTCCAACAGGTCTGTCAGTTTATGCATGCTCCACGACATCTTCATCTAACTACGGTTCATCGCATTATACGATACTTGCTGGTACACTTGATAGGGGTCTTTTTTTCCTGCAAATTGATGCAGATTGGGCAGGATGAACGGATACTCGTCGCTCGATTACAGGTTGGTGCATGTTTCTTAGGGGTACACTAATATTCTAGCGCAACAAGAAATATGATCGTATTTCTAAATCTTCCACTGAATCTGAGTATCATGATATGTCTTCTACTTGTTCTGAGATTGTTTAGCTACAGGGCCTTCTATCGTAACTTGGTTGTCCTCGGCTTAGGCCTATTCCACTTTATGCCGATATGCTACTAATCTTGTGTTTCATGAGCACACTAAATACACTGAGGTGGATTGTCACTCTATTCGTGAGGCTTATGATGGACACATTATTTCTCTTCCACATATCACCATTGATATTCAGATCGCTGATGTGTTTACTAAGGTAATGACGCGACAGCGTCATCGGTTCCTTGTCGACAAATTGATACTTCTTGATCGTCCAGTATCAATTTGAGGGGAGGATGTCAATGAGATTGTGATTGAGATCACGAAGATTTTGTAATTTACAAAGATTATATATATATATATGGTAATTACTATATACCTAAATTACAACATACCATGTATATATGTAATATTTTTCTATATAATGGAAGGCATCCCGAACAGGGAAAAGTATTCAGCCAAACTTTGACACAAATGACTACTCGCAGCATTTGAAGCCTTTGTAATTCACTAAGCATATACAATCAGAATTGTCTTTGCCCTCATTTCCTCCATTACTGCATCTCTCCATTTGGATGATTCCAAGGCCTCCTGAATATTTCTTGGGATTTATGATTTGTGAAGGTTAGCAGCACAAAATCCTAAAATAGAATGTTATACGATACGAATTTTGAAATAGGATGGATAGTACATGACCGAGTTTGTTTTCTGAGAATAATGGATAGATCATCATCTAGAGGTTTAGATGTGTTGGAAGTAGAGGTGTCAAGACGAACGGGCCGGCCAGACCCGTGAAAATCGGCTTAGATCGACCCGGGACTGCGGGCCGACCCGTGACCCGAGCGGCTGTTCACAGGTCAAGGAGGTGTGACCCACGGGCTTCGCGGGTTGCACCTTCACGGGTCGCAGTTAACCCGCTGGCCCGTGAAAAAAAAATTTAAAAATTTGAAAAAAATGGAGGAGAGAGCCAACCTAGTTGGGATTACTTAAATTATAAATTATAATAAAAGTAGGTGTCAACCTAGCTTGGATGTACTTATACTATAAATATTTGATAATACTAATTAGAAATGCATTTAGTTATTATTTGTTTAAGTTAAATTTAGAGTGTGTTTGGGACACATTCTTTTGAAAGAATGTATTATTGAATAGTAGATTGATAGAGAATGTGTGGTTAAAAATGAAGGAAAAGTTATTGATGTGATGGAAAATATTATTTTATTGAAAAATGTGTGGTTGAAAATGAGTAGAAGAATGAAAATGAAAAAAATAATGTGTACCAAACAGAGCCTTAATTTTGCAAAGTTATAAATAATTCACGTGACATTAAATTTGAATTCTATGTAAGCATTTCTAGGTATAAATATGAATTTATCATTTTGTTCAATTCTTAGTTTACATTTAGCAAAAATATATATTTTTTGCTATAAATATGAAAAATTCTATATCTCTATAATTTTATTTATACAATAATACGGGTTAAATCGGAACAAACCGCGACCCGCATGGGCTCGACCAGAATGGGTCANCCGTGAACTCGTAGCGTGTGGGCTTTTTTTCACGCGGCCCGTTACCGTTCTCATATGTTGGCGGGCCGACCTGGCCCGAACCACCCAAATTGACACCTCTAGTTGGAAGTATCAAGTCCTATCACCGGTTTCAACTATCTTGGTGCCTCGGGTGTGAGTACCCAATGAACACACATTTAATAGCACATAGATCAAGTTTGTTCCTCTGACAGAGGTGAACATGTACAAAAGTAGTACTTCCAAACACTTTTAGGGATAGATTTGAACTAAGGCGAGAAGTAGGGAAGTATTTTTGGAGTTTTTGTATAGGTGAGTCAAAGGAGAGAGTACGACTAGACATTCAGTTGATGAGATATGTAGATGCTAGAATGGCATCTCCCCAGAATGTTTATAGTAAACATCAAGGCATGAGCAACTTCGAGTAGGTGTCTATTTTTTCGTTCAGCAACCTCATTTTGTTGGGGAGTGTGACACGTGAACTTTGGTGGACGATCCCATATTTTTTAGGTAGTCTTGCAAAGTACTATTGAAGTATTTTGTGCCATTATCAGTGCACAAAATTTGAAGTTGTATTTGAAATTGAGTTGTAATCATAGAGTGAAAGTTTATAAACACTGAGCGAACATCATTTTTTTCCTTTAGTAGATAGACCCAACATACTCAAGTGCGGTTTTCGATAAATCACTGTGAATATTGGCGAAAGGCTTAAATGGTTTGTATCTGGAATTTCGAAACGATGTACGCTGGTGTTTTGCAAATTCACAACTCTCACTTGAAACTCATAGACTAAGAAACTCATATTACAAGTCACTTCTCTACCCCCATTTCACATCATTAATAACTGAGCACCGCTTCCAACTTGGAACATATTTGGACTTTCAAGTTATTTATCAGAAGAGGCTTTCTATTGTTCTATACTTGATAGAATCAGCAATTTGAAAACTTGTGTCGACTCCTATAAATATATTATGAAAATCCTATACATAAGCACAATATAAAGAGCTTAGAAAATGTAGCTTGAAAGTGTAACAATTGTGAACGACCCATGTGGAGATAAGCAATAAATAAAATCAATATCCCTCCATCCGGGGTGCCAGAATTTTTTAGTTTAATTCTTATTTTATCACATTTAGGACCTAGGAAATCCTAGGATTTAAAAATTATAGAAATTGTACTCTCTCCTATGCACATATATCGCCTATTTTTCAGATTAATTTATGATACAATCAAGCAAATTGTGATGAAAGATTCCCCAAAAATATTACCAGCATGGTGCCATAACCATCAGCAACCTTGCATCCAGACATCAGAAATGGCGCTTTTGAATCCTTGTGAACCTGCCAAGAGCAAAAACGAGTAGTGTAAAAGAATATGGACACGATAACTACCTTGAAATACAGCAGACAATCTATCGATTCTTACAATTTTGCTCTCCCCAGTCATACTTGATTCATCAATTGAAAGGGAGTGACCAGATACTACAATTCCGTCAGCAGGTACCTGTAACAAATGTGAAAACAAGACAAAGTAGATAAAAAATGAAAGATTTGAACACAAACCCCACATTCCTGCCTTCTCGGCGGCTTCCCTTCAAAACATGTTTGGCTTCTTTTTTATGCGTGAGGGAGGGCTGGGGGGACGGGGGCAGAGAGAGATCTTGAAATTTACCTGATCACCAATTTTAAGAGGCACAATATCACCAACAGCTATTTCAAATATTGAGATAAAAACTCTCCTCCCACCCCTAATGACCTGTAAAGAATTACCTGAAAATGTAATGAGAAAAGCAAAAGGGAGGAAAATCAATGCAAAGAATATAACTGTTGAACTACATAATGCCTACCTCAATGTGAATATTTTGCTTCTCTTCATTCAAATTTTGAAACTGGAGGGATTGCCTGTAATCACTAACAGCTGCAAAATGATGAAAATAAGACACATGCAGTAATACTTGAGGTGTTCATTTAAAAAGGCAGTATGCATTATTAACATGAGAAATCATATAAAACAAATTTCGGCAAATAAAAATATAATCTCCACTGTATGAATCCAATTAATGTACATTCTGAGGCATCCCACAAGCCATAAATAGTTCAAAATACATGAACAGAGTTTTCAAACAACTTAAAAACTATATGAAATCTCGGATTAATCTAAACAACATGATACAAATTCCTCTTGAAACAAAATACTGTGAAGAAGAGCCACGAAGTGATGTCGGAAAGAATGAAGAATGACAAGGTCAATAGCATTAGCGGATAAAGTAACTGCTTGAGCTTACCTACACATACTCCTACTTGCTCTGATGCTCAGACTCTTCGAAATAGTGGGAGTACCCGTGTCGGACACGACATGGGTATGAAATATGTGTCTGATCTTCCAAGTTTCAACCGGACACTTCGTCGTTTTTGCTTCTTCTTCTTTCTTCTTTTGTTTTTCTTTTCCTTTTCTTTCCCTTTTCTTCTTTTCCACTTTTGCTCTCTATAAACCTAGCATCGTCACCGAGAGGGTAGAGAAAGACGGTGACGTTAAGTTTTCCCTTCTTTTTCTTCTTCTTTCTTCTTTCTTTCCATTTTTTCCCTCTCCTCTCTCTCTCTCTATCTATGGTTTAGGCTTTTGTTTGTATAAAATAAAAATGGGTTCCAAATAGGGCTACTTAATGCTCCACTAAATCCAAATTACAATCAAATTCCTCATTTTCTATTTTATATAACATTTAGTAATTCTCATTATTGAAAATTAAACCCCAAAATTATATTTTATTCGTCTTAACCCCTAATTAAATACTTATTTCCTTCATTTTAAATAATTAATTTTGGTCTATTCAAAATGACATCTGGATTAGTAAAAAATTGAAGTTTGAAAGACGTACCCATGTCCGAAATTTGGACTCTTTCTATCCATGTTCTCATATCCTATATTTTAGAAAATAAAAGATCCAATACTTAGATACGTACCCGTACCCGATGCCCGTACCTGAGTCCAAACATCATAGCCTACTTGCATTACAAAACTTAAGAGGATAACGGAGAAAAAGTAGGTAATAAATTTAGGAATAAAACAAAAAAGCATACAGCAGAAAGCACATAGCACAAAAACTTATTCCAGGCAAACAAGCGCAAAATAACAGGTTAAAAATCCTTTCTTATTACCTGTAAATATAATAACAATAAGGACTGCCATGGCAATGCTTCCTCCATCATACCATCCTTCCTTTATACCCTATATATAGATTAAAGGTGAATTCGGACCAAAAGAAAATGATAAATAAACAAATCAAAATGATAATAATAACAACATTATTAAATAAAGAAATGAAAATACATCGATGTTCTCCATATTTTATATGAATATGATTAACTCCTACGAATAAATAAACGAAACATAAGCTCATGGACATTATACACTATCTAATCTTTTAATGTCTAAGTAGTTATAGAAAATTTATTAGGCAGCTAGTAAATATCCAGAACAGCTTTCAATGACAAGACCACTTAGATTCAATCATAGAAACTGATTTAAGCTATAGGAAATAAGAGATTGGACAATTAGCATGGCTGGCTAAGCTTAAAATCTACGATGCACCAAGAAGGATACGTGTGTCCGACATGTATGCGCCGACACGAGATTTTTTTCAAAAAAGTACTGACATGACAAGTCATCAACGCGTTGATTAAATTCTTTAAAATTCTTCATTTGTATAATATAAATTTATTTTTATACCTGTTATTAATTTTTCATATTGAAATCTTTTAAATATGAGTACGTATTGGTTATGTATTAATAATTTTAAGTTAAAAATATAAAATATTTCTAATAAAAAAAGAAAAATTATCATGGTAGAGTGTCCGAGAAGTATCGATATTCGACATTTGTTCGTGTGTCGGACATGCTACCTTAGTTGAAGTGTCCATGCAATGGAGTAAAATAAAGTTTGAGCATCCTATTTCACGGAACATATTTAGCTTAAACTTAAGCAGGGCATAGATTCATTAAAGATATAATGTATTTATCCAAAGTAGTACTGATCAAAGTGTCTCTCTCTAAAAAGATTGACCAAGTGAAAATTCTATGCTCATCAAGAAGAGAGAGGTTGGAGAGAATCAAAAACAAATATCAATGCTGTACCACCTATAAAACGGACAAACGACTAGATTGATAAACAATCTCTTCTCAACCTTACCTCAGTCTTTATGCCTAATGCTAAAGAAGCAGCTGCAGCGACCATCAAGATAATGAGAGTTGTGTCTTTACAAGCCTCCCAGAGAAAGTTCTGTAGTATAAGCAAACAACACAAAACTAGTTTCCCCTTTCTAGTTATGAAACAATATTAAAACACAAAAGACAATAAAAAGAGCTTCTGGAAATTTTCAGTACTTACCCAGAAACTTCTGCCTTTCTTCCGAGGATATGTGTTCGATCCAAAAGCATTCTTCCGGTCTATGAGGTCAGTCTCATCTCCATGTATACCTTTCTCCAAATTCGATTTTAATTTATCTGCCACTTCTTTAACCTGATACCCCAAAAAAAAAGGTAGAAAAGAAAAGAAATCAAAGTAACAAAAAGAACCAGTGTGATTTATTGTTTAGTAAAGCAAAGACAGAAATGGACAAACAATATGATTATAGAGAACTTGCCCCTCCAATACGCTTCAGAAAAGTAAGATCATTTTCCCTGGTTATTGAAACTAGCTCCTCCGGGCTAATATCAAAATTGCCAACAGGGGTGGTCGACTTCGATGGAGGTAACCGCTCTTGAGTTTCTTTTACTAAAAGCAGAAATGTAGCAGTGTAATTAATAATTATACAGAAAACTGTAAATGATATTTTAAAAAAAAGGTAAAAAAAATAAAGAGAATTACCTTTTGCATCTTGCCCAGAAATTTGGAAACGAAAAGCAGCCTGGTAAGAAAAAACAATTAATCAACTTTGATATAATACTCAATTTTTTATCACCCTAGAAAGAACAAGAAATATAAATTACCCGAACAACTTGAGCATGCGTTCTAATCTTAGCAATCAATTCCTTCTTTTCTTCCTCTTTTTTCAGGTCCAGAGTATACCGAAATCGACGAGAAGCATTCAATACAAGTGCAGCTTGCTGAAATGGACAATATCAATTTTACATGCATAGTACGTGCAGTTTGAACAGCCAGGCAAAATAATATTTGACAAGAAAACCATCCATCTTCCATCACGGGGATATTTAAAAGAAGTACAATGGTCAAACTTTATTTTCTTGTAGTTAAACAATGCGAATGAATAACACAACCCGAACTTGAAGGAATATGAAATTCTTATTCTAAAAAGAAATCAAAATAATAACACGTCATCTTCACATTCATTAATAATGAAATATCTTCTGCAAAACCAAATAATAAGCCCCAGTTTGAGCCACATTTTATTTTCATTATTATTTTTCTCCTCATTTTCAACCACACATTTTTCAATAAAATAATATTTTCCATTATATCAATAATTTTTCTTTTTTTTCAACCACATATTTCTCATCACATAAAAAAAAATGCATTCTTGAACTCAAATGTACACCAAACAAGGGCTAAAACAATGAAACTCCTATTTGATAACCATACTTTCAAAAATCTTTTGTATTCATATGAAAAATATTTTGCACGTAAATTCAAATATTTTCCACATATTTTAACTACACATCTTCCTAAAAATAACTGTTCAAAACTCTATTTTCCCAATATTGTCAAAACTCTATTTCTATTCAAATAAATTGCAAGTTTAGTGCTTGTGTGTCTCTCATTGTGAGAGAAGAAATGAAATTTTGAATAGTATTTTTTTTAGAATATGTGGTTGAAAAGTAAAGTAATTTTATTAGTTTGTGTGTAGAATATTTTATTGAGTGAATACGTGGTGGTGGAGATTGTTTGCAGTACCAAACAATATTTGATAAAATGGATGACAAAAAGGGGCTTAGATACAAATCAGAACAGGTACCGAAAACCACTACTTTTTCTACCAAAAACTCAGAACAGGTACAAAATATGTTGTTTATTTAGCCCATGTTTGGGCCACCTTTTTATCTCAATAAAATGAAAAATATGACCGTTATACGTCACATCAAAATTTAAATTCAAATTTTCTATCTCTTGTATCAACCCAATAAAAGCGATATTTTTCATTTTCGTTCAACAATGAAGTTGCTCAAACAGGGCCTTAGCGTTCAAAAATAAACAAAATTGTAAAAAATATACGAAAAAGAAAAAAATAAAGGTGTGAATAACTTACCCTCCACCTACGCAACCGATCGAGTGGAGCACTTTTGGTTCGAACTATATCAAACGGTCCAGAACCTACTTCATCATCGTCATGGAAGTCGGTGCTACTGTTACCGGCTTCAAGATCATTCTGGTGAAGCCTGTACGGCGGCGTATTGGCCTCTTCGTTGCTCATTCTCGATTTTCTGTCAAATATGCAGGAGATATGAACATCGCTTAGATATCTCCACAAAATCACATCAAATACATGCACATTGCTTCCAAAAATTATTCTAAACTCGAAAAACTCAAACCTTTTCACTTAAGAGCGCTTGAGTAAGAGACAAAACTCACCGAATACGAACTTTTACAGCATTTAATGCACGAATATTTATGTTTCTATAATTCTATTCTCTCTCTCTCTCTCTGTCTCTCTCTCTGTGTATATATTATTGTATTTGAAACAGAGATACAACTGGATGAAAATGCAGAACTTCACAGTCTCCACTGTAGAGGAATTGAAGAAACTTCTAGGAAATTTCACAGTGAATATTATTGGTTCTATTTATGGAAAATCCGTTATTTGATCTATTTATGGGAATAACTTTATGAGTAATTATATTCACGTCACAATTTTTATTTCTTGCACCACTTTTTTTTTTTGATACCCAGGTATTTCAGCTTAGTCAGACTATATCCTGGACCCCTAGCCATCAGCCCTTCAACAGCTCGAGGAAGTAAATCGCGGGTTATACCCTTATTGGCTCCCAAGTTCCTGCATGGTTTTAACTCCCGACCCCAAGAGTCTTCATCACTGCCTTCCACAATTCATGCCTTTCACATAATGTGTCTTCCACAAATTGTGCCTTTCAGGAATCGAACTCTGCACGCTGAGGTTGCAAGCCCACACATGCAATTGTTCCACCAACTTGGATGTGCTCCGGGGGGCTTCTTGCACCACATTTTAATTGTATTTAGTGCTTGCTTTGAAGTTATTTTCACAAATTTTGACCAATTTTGAGTAGCACGAGGAGTTAAAAGAACTTATACCTGCTATTTTTTTGTCACCAATTTTGGATGGTTTTAAAACCACCCAAGAACGGTATTGTGTAATTTTGAGTCATTCTCTTGTTCCACCCCACTTGAGTGATGAACAGTGGCGGAGATAGGGGCCCAGCCCACCCCAGCCCAAGCCAAATTCTACTAAAAAAAAAAAATTTATAACACTTTTTTTTTTGTGTCCAACCCAGTAGCCCACTGTCTAACTCACTAACCCCTCGTCTCACTGAATCCTGGCTCCGCCCATGGTGATGAATGAATAATACGATACATAATTCAGTGACCATTACATTTATAAGTTCAATTATTAAATAGTAGCACTTAGAATAGTTCAATGACCATTCAAATAATTAACCCAAATATAAAAAAATGTAACTTTTTGAATAGAAAGTAAAAATTGGAAGGGTTTTGTTATGTGTATACTAATGTTGACACCCCAATGAATAACCCCCTCACAATAGGGAAGCCTAGAATTCTTTTTATTGGGCGTGAGCCCCTATTGTGACAACTAGCAAATAGTGAAACCCAAATTGGAATATGGAGAAATTATGTTCAACTCATTGTGAACCATGATTAGTGCACTAAAATCAAAATAACTAGCAAAAAAAGTGACAACTTTTCATTCTACTTCAATGAGCACCTTGTTATGTAAAATTTTCCAGTTCTACTTAGAGGTGTTCAAATTATTGATATTTAGTAATTCATATTAAACTTTTTTACCTTAATGGTCATCAAACGACAAAATAGAGAAAAGTTAAACAAAGAAGATAGTTGTGCTGATTTTATTTCAAAGATTTTTAGCGGGTTTTTCAATGTGTAACTTTTAACACAAATTTTATGTTAAAATAACAAAATACTGATAGATTTATTTCCATGAAACTAAAAAGACAAGTAATTTTTTGAAATTTCATTTAAATTTGAATAAATTAAATAAGCTATGAAAGAGGAAATTGATTTCTAAGCTTTATTTGCTTGACAAATTAATTTGGCAAAGCATTAGGTGAAAGTTGAATATCTATCCATGTCAAGAATTGTGCAAACATAGTTGGTAAGGCAATGAAAGGTGGTTTCCTGGTAGCTGTTTTAGTCCTATTGAATGTGATGGCACACCTCTTTAGTGAGTGGAAAAAATTTTTGATTGAAAAAGTAAAACGCATAAAGTAATTTGGACGATAAGGAAAATTTCGTAACGTAATCTGAATTTTAATGAGAATCGAAATTGACCGCGAGTATTCCCTATATATATATATATACATATGATCCCGTTTTTGAGTTCTAGATGAAGAAAAAATCATAAAATTCGAGAAAAAATGGAATCAAAGCGTCTCAGGGGCGCCTCAACACCACTTCCATGGCACCCCAACGTCGAGCCCGATGTTGCGGCGCCAGCACCCCGACACTCGGGACAAAATCACCAACAGGGGCACCGACGTTGTGGCTCAGGGCTATCTGCCTTCAAGAAATGTAAATTAAAAAGAATTTTTTAGAAAAAAAAAATGACATCCCGCTCGATCGATTTTATGGCTCTATGATATCATTTCCTTTTACGTAACCCTACAAATAGGGTCGTTCTCCATGTAATATTTAGGCATTCCAACATTTCATCTCAATTACTATGGCTGAATAATAAAACAGTTAAACTGCACAATCGAATTCGCTTTTTTAAAACCATTGATTTGTGTCCACATGGATCCATCAAAGTTTTGGTTTTTTTAGATATTTAACGTAATTGGTTATTCTGTGAACAAAAAGGATTAAAGTTGATATGTTGTAAAAAGTTAAGGAGTAGTGTTCAATTAGTGAAAGTTATGATATTTTAGGTATAGAGTTCGAGAATGGGAAAGAAGAAAAAACGACGCGGAATTTCGCTAAGGTTTGGCTCAAGCGTCAGAAGCAGAAATTTCATTGCTCGATTGTCGTCACACCTTCGCTCGAGGGACAACCGTCGCTAGACTGTTGTCGTTGGATTGTCACTCGACCTTTGCTAGAGCGACAGTGTTTTTTAAGAAAAAAATATTTCGTTTTTAAGGCTTTTTGTCCGGCCCATTTATTTCATAACCTACATATAAATACTTGAATGCCTTTGAACGGTTTTTCAAGGTTGATTATTGAGAAAAACCACTCCTTTCATATTTTTTTCATCATCTAAAGCATTCAACCTTCATTGTTCAAACTGATATGTTTTTTGCATTGAAAAACATCAGTTTCACAATCCAAATACCAAACGCCTGCTTCCTTCATATCTGTCAAAGTTTTTGAAGATCAAGGGAAGGTGACCGAAATTCCGGTCGTTGAAGAACGCGGTGTTCTTCGTGAATCCACAAGAGATTGACGATTTCACAAAGTTGGGAGTTGCTGCAGGAGAGCGCAATCCATGAGAGTTTTGAAAATTGCAGCTAGGAGTTGGTGCAGGAGCATAGAATCCAGTAGAACTGTTGGAATTGCAGTCATGATATCAGATAGTACATGTCGTCATCTAGTCTGGTAGACTGTAAGTTAAAAATCGTTTATAGTGGATTGTTGACTAGTAAAGTGACTGGAGCTTTCACTCAGTTGAGTTTTTTCGTGATCAATTCTTGTGTTCATTTATTACTTACATAACTGCTATATTTCAACATAGGATTAATTGAATTGCATGTTTAATCATTTAGAAAAAAATTAATAGTGACTTGTTGCTAGTTAATTATTAAATAATTTTTAATTTTGCATAATCACCTATTTACCCTCCCCTCTAGGTGTTGTTCGGGTTGAACTACGTACTTTCAATTGGTATCAGAGCATTAATTCGATTCTTGACCCTTAATAAATTCTATATGAGTTAGTCATTGTCTGTGTCTCCGTTTTTCAATGGAAGCAATACAGTTCAAATGAGAGCCTTTCTTAAAGTTTTGGATGAACGTATTTGGATTAGCGTTCAAATTGAGTGGACTCCACCTTCAACTACTGTTGTTGGTGTAGTTACACCCACCGATATCTCACTCTGGACTAAGGTCATGTTTGGTACACATTATTTTTTTCATTCTTATTCTTCTACTCATTTTTAACCACACATTATTCCATAAAATAATATTTTCCATCACACCAATAACTTTTCCTTCATTTTTAACCACACATTCTCCATCAATCTACTATTCAATAATTCATTCTTTCAAAAGAATGTGTCTCAAACACACTCTAATTTAGGAGAGTGTCAATGTGTGAGACTGCTAAAAAAGTTTGGGATATCTTAGAAACTACACACGAGGAACTAAAACTGTTAAAAATTCTAAACTGCAGATCTTAACCTCTAGATTTGAAGAAATTAGAATGAAGAACGATGAATCGTTCAAAGAATTCTATGCGAAACTGAATGACATAGTTAACTCGAGTTTTAACCTATGAGAAAGGATCCTCGAATCCAAAATTGTTAGAAAGGTCCTTAGATCCCTACCTGAAAGGTTTAGACCTAAAGTCACCGGTATTGAAGAAAGTAAGGAGTTAGATACAGTTAAGATAGAATAACTCGTAGGATCCCTTGAAACCTATGATCTCACCGCCTCTCAATCTAAAAAGATTAAATCTATAGTCATAAACACAATTAGAGAATAAGAGAGTGAGTCTTCTAATGTTGAGACATTTTGGGACGACAAAATAACTTATTTCATTAAAAAATTTCAGAAAGTGATGGGGAATAGGAGAAAGCATTAAGAACTGAAAAATGAATTCCCTTGTAAATTCGTGAAAGATAATCGTGAAAAGAGTGACTCTATGACTGTTAATAAGAAAACTCAATCTGTTAGATGTCATTGGTATCAGGGTTACGGTCACTATAGGAATGAATGTCCTAACTTGAAAAAGATTTCAAATAAAGGAATGACCTTGAGTGATAATGAATCAGATTCGAGTGCCCAGAGTGATACTTCTGGTGGTGAAGATGAACAAAAGTTCATAGCCTTCACATTTATAACTACTATAGAATCTGATAAGGAAATTGATAAGGTTTAAAGTGATGAAAAGAGTGAGAAATATGAGGATGAACCTGATATTCACGAATCTTATCGTGAACTACTTGAGGAGAGTCTTAAGATTAAAAATATCAATAAAGGTATTCTGAAAAAGGTAAACGAACTTGAAAGAGATAGAGATAAACTCATAGGT